GCGGCGCAGCGGCGCACTGGCGCCTAGAAACCTATAACAGGGACGAGTTAAATTTTTTTGTACTCGTTTGTTATTGTGCTTTGTTTTAAAGGGGGGGGGGCAGACTCAGTAAAATTAAGCCAAAGATGATAATATATATCCTAAATTTTTTGGAGCTCATCATTGTTTATTAATATACGAATTTGTGCTGCTTTTTAACGATAAGATCAGTAAAGCTGTATCAGCTTATCGTGACGCCTGTGTTCACGTCTTGTGGACTCACGTGCGGATCCCATGGGTGTAACATGAGTACCTACCGACTGAATAAGTTTTTCATGGTTTTTCACGTATTTTCCAAAATTAAGGGCGACCATTTTTTTATGAATAAGCTAAAAAAACATTCCAAATTTGTTCCTTTGTAGGTAAGAAACTCTCCAACCTAACCACAAAGGTGTTAATGACCGTAATTGCTATGGCACCGCTTTAAAATTAACGAATATTACTGCTAGTCATACTATATATCTTAATCATGGGGAAAATTACCAGTTTCAGGTTTTCTTCACTTAGCGACACCCTGACACAGCAAATAAATTTAATGCGATCACATATTTCAGGACGCTAATCAGTAAATCTCGGCTGCTTAAAGCTGGGGGGTTCGTTCTATGCTGGGTGGCTCCCCTGGAGCAAAAACAGCACTATGTTAATATGAGATTAGCGTATTTATAATGATAATAGCCCCAGGGAAGCGGAGAAACTTGAGAAGCTCGAGCGTCACTTACATGTCGCATCCTCTCAATGCAATATTTTGCGTCTGAGACACAGAGTTGTCAGACGCTCCCAGGACATCACTGAGCGACACCCGTTGTTAGCCAACGTTGCATAGCTGAGGGAAAATGTCCATTTCCCGGGATTCATGTCCGATTTCGGATCCCGATCGATAACCCTTCCTCTTCTGCGTTCTGCGAATATAGGCTATCAAGCTCAAAACCTAATTCAGGGTGTCTAGTTTTTTTTTACATTTTGGGAAATCCTGATTTTTCCTGATTTTTGACTGCTAATCCTGCTTTCATGATTTTTCCAAATCCTGATCAAATCTTGATTTTTTGCGGAGAAAAATGGATATCACAAAAATGGCTCGAAAAAAAAATCTGATCGAACGGCCGAATTTTCTCAGATCCTGATTTTACGACCGATTTTTCCTCAAATCCTGATGAAATCGGGATTAAATCCTGATTGACCTCAAATCCTGATAGAATCGGGAAAATCCTGATGCTAGGCACCCTGTAATTGGGTTTACACTCGCCTGGGCATCCTGTTAAACCACACACCGATTATGAAGCCAGGTAAAGGTATTTCTTGGGTTTCTGAAAATACAAAAAATCCAACCACGATAACTTTGAGAAAAGTCAACCGTTCATGTTCGTTAAATTTTTCACCATATTCCTTTACCCATCTGGGAAAATCATACTTACCTATAAATACCATAAAAAATGATTTCAATACCTTCTTTGAATTAATTTAAAGGTAAAAGAAATGGTTAAATACGTGCCGCTACAGATGTGCACCATCAATAATATTTTGTGTAAAAAAATTAGAAATTTTCATCGACAACGTAAAAGTGCAAACCGTCGTCTGTACGCTTTGTAAAGCTAATAAACTTTCGTTCCGGTTTCAAGCAGTGGCGTGGCGTGGCGTGCTTTGCGATCTATCGATTGATCTGCCATTTAAACCTATAAAAAAGGATCGATAGAGAGGTTTCCGCAACGAACACCTTAATAATCGATCTTTTACTATAGCTTCAAATGGGGAAATATCGATAAGAATCGATCATTCACGCCTCGCCACTGTTTTCAAAATAACACCGGAACGTGCGAGCATATTGTCCGTATATTGAACGTATACTGAAATAATATAGCTCCACGATTGAGATCAATTTTCACTGTAAGACAGATTAACGCCGACTAAAAATTATCTACAATCAGATTTAAATTGCAGGAATTTTCTATTAAACACTACTTAGTAGCTCCCCAACTCCTACTCAATAGCAAATAACTTCTATACTGATCATTGCTAGGATGAATGTGCTAAGCCACTCATTCATGTACCTCTCTTCTTAGGTAAGAGAACTAGTTTATTGGAGTATTTGAGAGTAACTAGAATAATAGAGGGACATCTGATGAACGCTGATGAACTAATGAATCAATTTACACTTGGAGAATGAAACTATTTATGAACCCTGTGACAACGTACAAATCTACATTCTCATAAATATTCACGACCCCCAGCTCCATGATTTAACGAGATATGTCGGTCAACGTCCCAAATATTAATGATGTTATACGTCAAATGAAAAAAAAAACTATAAATGTCAGTCTGCGTTGAGAATCGGTCATCCCAGCGAGATCGGTGCTGCTGCTTCAAATGATTAACATACATCCCAATGTCCATTGACATGGACTTGGTAAAAAAAGAGGGAAAAATTGCACGTTGCCGTTTACGAACACGTAGAATCCGAGGAATATGAGCTCTCTGACTTGAGTTATGGCATTTTTTTTTAGCACAAACGGTGCCTTTGCGGGACAAATGATGGATCACGATATATTATGATACCCACTAGTTGGTTAAGGTCGTATCCAAGGTGAAACTGCAGAAGAGTGTATCTCAGTTTACGGCGTTGCAGATTTCCCATCATACTTTATTTTCTTAATAATTTACTTTTTTAACGATTATTTTAGTGGAGGAAGTTCCACTGAATGGATAAAAACAATCTGATCATCAAAACTCAAGTTTTAGTTTTACACCACCAGTTTGAATATCCATCAGGCGGTGTAGAATCTTACGTAATTTCTCAACTACGAATGTATTTTCGCGAAATCACAAAAATATCAATTGCAAGTTCGAGCTTTAGTTTTTCCAAATGTTCATTGGCTTAAAATTCGAGGCTTTCAGCTCAGGCACATAATTCCTACCGCAAGTGACTTGGCACTCCTGCTGAAAATGTTTGAGGAAAGCGTGGAATTCCCGTGAGAACCCGCGATTCGGTGTGTGAGATTGCGACGACCTCGCAAAATCTCACCGCGTCAAATTAATCTTATCAGCTCGCTGGAGCAAGTAACTAAAACTTCCTTCGGGTGAATCCACCTACGTCTCACAAAACCCAAAACTAAGGCAAGGTCACTACCATACCTGAAGTAAAACAATCTACCGCTTTGTTTGACTTTGTTCAATAGTATCGTATTCGTTTTTGCAACGAATACAACTATTAATTACTGACAAAAACTATTTGCAAATAATTATACGTGCTTACACAACCTGAGAACAAAAGGAAAGCTTTGCGAATGGATTAACTCCTCACACGATTCAAAAAAATACGTATCTCAGCTGCAACGATAGCAAATCTCCTATTGGAGGCCGTCCCTAAATTATGTAACGCTCCAGGGGAGAGGGGAGTCAAGGAGAGTGTTACGCCACGATGTGTTAAAGGATCTACGTCAAAAAAGCGTTACGAGAAGGGAAAGGGTCAAAAATTCCGAAAAAATGTGTTATACGTAATTTAAGAATGACCCTTTTTATGTTTTTAAATTATTTTATTTTATTTGTAAACTTTTTTGATACATTATTTTAAAAACGTAACCGAAATACCTTCTCCAGACTGGCGATGAACATGTTCGTATGACCTGAGTTGAAAACCGTTGACGCCGCAAGTTTGAATAATCGCGTCAAACACAGTGCGGCGGCGCGGAGCTGGCGCGTCACGCATAGCAGCGCCTAACAGAACCGCAGGATACTTCATGCATTGCGCGTACAGCACGGTTCCTTACAAGTCTGCAGGATACTTCATGCATTGCGCGTATACCACGGTGCGCGCGCGCTCAAGTTGTTGAAAAGTCGTATTTTCTTGGTGTCGAGCCTACCCCGATCCACACCATTTCCGAACAGTGCACACCTCCCAGCGTAGCCAACCCAATCCAATTAGACTAGGTTGGCTTGTAAAGTTCTAAAGGGTCTTCTTGTCTTTTGATTTGATTTAAGATTTTTCACTTAAATATTAATTTGTACTATTTTAGTTAAGAAAGTTTGTTTCACATTGTTTCCTTCATTCAAGCTTTTAATTATAAAGCAATTAATCATGCTACCTTAGTACAGTTAATTTACTGCAGCTATTTAACTTTGCCATTGAGCAAAAAGTGCATGAAAAAAAGCTGTGTTGAGCACCTCCCAGTGCCTGTAATCCCAGGATCACACGATTGTAGAGATTTTTCAATCCTGAGTGTTTTCCGGTGAAAATATAATTTACGAATGGAAATTTTTCAAGTTGAAATGCTGTTACGTTCTATCGCCCGGAAAACGTCAAACTTGGCTAACTTCCAGGGAGAAAAAGGGCATTTTATTTATTACAAATGTGGCAAAATTTCTAAGGAGATATATTCTTGATGTCCCATTCACACAAAAATGAACTCTGGCAATCCAACCTAACTTCGGCAATTTTGGCCAAATGACCTAGGTCCCCAATGGCTGATCTTGGAAAATTATGGGGGGGGGGGGGTTGTCCACCGCGGCACCTCGATGGCCTGGTCGGACACTGATTTTCTGGGACGATTCGAGGAGTCAGTCCACCCCTGGCCATCGGCAAGGGTGAAACCCTATTCTGCCGTGCTGAGGAAAAACGCCGTATGAGCCTTCAGGCGTTGCCAAATTTCATCTGGCAAATCACTAATTTTCAGGAAAGTTTTTGAATATTTTTCAGCCAATTTCTCAGGTAGTTTTGTCTGTAATTTGATCTAAAGTGCCTGAAAATTTCAAGGAAACACATTCATAATTTTCCTCAAAAATGAACATTTTATCCGATGAAATTCGGCAACTCTTGAATGTTTACACGACGTTCTTACTTAGCAAGGCAGTATTGCAAGGAGCGCGATCGACCAATGTATAGATCTATATATTGTACTTTATATTTTTTCGTTTCACTTTGTCATTACGTTATTATCAACATGTAAATCAACGTCTTATCATTTTTCCAGGTGGGTACTACTCTATCGAGCAAAAAGTAAGGAAACTTCGGATTGTTGCTCTTAACACCAATCTCTTTACGAACAGCTCTTGGGACCAGGAAGCGGAGGAACAATGGGACTGGCTGGAGTCAGTCCTTATCAAATCATCCAGAAATAAAGAAACGGTAATCTTTTGCTGATATATTTTTATTTATTCATTTATTTTTTTCACCCTATGTTCTCCTAGCTATATCTCCTCTCTCCTTCTTTCTCTCCTAAGTTGCTTTCTTTCATTAAATTAAGTTTCTCTCTCTTCGTTATTTCTTACACTTTCCTTTTTTGGGCAGCTCAATCTTTTCTGAATCTACTTTTTCACGTTTTTTTCTCGTGATACCACAGACGTGGCGTACCCCCTTCCATTCTCAAAAATTGGGTCTAAATTTCATTTATTTTGAAACGAATGTTACTTATTGCAGACCGGATAACTTTGGGAGGTCTCCTGGAGAGATGAAATATCTAATGGGGTTAATTGTATATTTTCGTCGTACGAGGGCTGAGCCTAGGGAAATGTATACTTAAATATTTTGAATGTAATTTTTCAATTTGCTTAAAGCACCCTAATGAATATATAGGTTCGAGTGTTTTTTTCCTGAACCTAAAACCTAAGTCTCGTCGCTGGTTCGAAGTATAAAAGATGAAGTCAGAGTCATAGATTGGTTTTCGTGTTTTTCTCCTGAACCTAAAACTTAAGTCTCGTCGCTCGTTCAGAGCATAAGTGATGAAGTCAGAGTCAGAACAGTAAAAGTTGACCAAGTTAGCAGCTCGATCCAAACTTGCATGTTTTCGTTTTGTTTTTGTTGTTTTTTCTTGGTATTTATCGTCAGTAACTTTCAAGGACTGAAGGATAAAAATAAATTAAATGAAAGAAAGGAGCTGAAGCTGTTGGGTTAATTTTTAAAATGGAACATCATTTTAGGGAATCATATTAAACTTACTTATAACAAAACAAACTGAGCTCGCAGAATTGACATTTCTTTCGAAAAACGTAAAGTGGTATTTTTTAAATCATCTGCCAGGATGGATATTTCGGATAATCTAAATGCATTTTGAGCTCTCGGAATTCGAAGTAAAGATTTAAAGATAAAAAGCTCGTTACGAAGCGAAGCTTTTTAAATAGCTCCCATCCCTCTGCGCGGAGGCGAAGGAAACAGTCGAAAAAGTAAAAGCGTGAAAAGAAACATTATCGGAGGCGGAAGGGAAACGTGAAGAGCGTTGTAAACAGAGGTAACAAAGAGAATAAATCAACGAAATTTAAGTCGAGTATTTGAATGTTGAGAGGAGCGTCGAACATCTGAAACTTTTTCTGCCGGATGCTGGATGCTGCTCAAATCAATCTGGACGTCAAGAGGGGTGGCGGTGCGGGGAGGAGGGGAGGAGGGGAGGGCTAGATCCGCGTCCTCGGCAGCTACGTGGGTGTTTTAATGAAGCGGTCTTGAAGTTTTCGAAGAAAATAATTATCCAATAGCTACACCACTTTGAGGAAGCCACTTTAACTGCGCTCCTAATTGGAGTCGGTTATTCCCGGTTCCAGGTTTAATAAGTTAAGAAAAATTTTCAGCAGCTGAGCGGAGCTTGGTCTGCTAATCATGCCGTGTTTTTCCAAGTCGGTACTCATCGACCGCCACTCTCAAGTTTGAACCCTGAAATCCTGGGTAATGGGCGCCGCTAATTAAAAACCGGATACGCCCATTAATCGGACACTTCGTCGCATGGCTGGCATAAGGGCGTAACTACATTCGGAGATGAGCTCGGGGAAGCATTGAGTTATGCTGACGACAGGGCTCATAGCGCAATATAGTTAGGTCCTTATGTCAGGAGGGCGACGACTTTTCCAGGCCTTCGCCCCTAACTACAGGGTCAAAAAATAAAGCGCACTCCAATTATTTATTTCCCGGATTGAAAATGTGTTTAGATCGTGGAGTCCCTCTGCCTTTATACCAGGCATCCATTTGCTGGAATCGGCATGACCGTAATTTAAGGGAGAAATACAGTGACACGAAGATATTATGGAAAAAATTGACTGTTTAGAAAATTTATGTAAGTAATGAAGCAGTTAACGATAACGATTGGATCCAATCTTATATTTCGCCCGATTCGCTGCAACTTTCCCGGCTCTGTCACTTTGGAGTTTGTTAGGATATTTTGCCACATTTCCGTTTACTTCGCATGCTTATGGTGAAAACGCAAAACGGCGTATACTTTTTCCAATCCACGACCCTCCAGATTCTCTGTCAACTTTGCACCCCCTTCGGAGGACAACTTGTCGTCGTTATCCCAGAAAATATTTTGAGATTTGTCTTTGTCCCTTCATACATGTTCGCTAAAAATTTCGCGACCTATCTAGACCTTAGACTCAAAATTTAAAAATGACGGGCAACTGCGACTGACTGTTAAACATTGAGTCAGAAACTATTCTTCAGCCTGAACGAGATACCGCAGTGCAACCAACTGTGCTATAAAAGTGTAAAGAGTAGGAGAAGAGAGAACCGGCCAGCAGTTCAAAACGTGGAGTCGAACATTGAGTTGGGAACATAACAAATAGTGCTCTAGCAGTGTACTATAACTTGAATGATTCTTATCAAAATACTCTCCGTAGGCAAGTACACATTTTACAACAAACAAAATGCAACTCAGAACAAAAACTTTAAAGTGACTAGTTTTTATTTTCTTATACTCAACCATCGAGTTGAGGTTTTGAAAAAGTCTCGATACTCTAATTTAATTCCAATCAAAGTAGACCATTTGATAACTATTGGTCACCGTGCAACATTCTACTTTGATCAAAATGGACTAATGGAGTGCCTCCGTTCATTATTTCTTGCCGCATGGAACATGTCTGCCAAGTTTTCATTTGGAAATAATGCGATAGGGTAACGAATGTAGGACTCCCAACACTCGAATGCGGATTGGTTTCGGGATTAGACTGTCTATCGAGGCCGAAAAAAATTAGCATGACGTCTGTCAAACATTGAATGGTGATAATCTGGAGGGTGGGCAAACTCTTCATCCGATTTTGTTTGGTCCAAAGTTTTTGTGGTCCATTTTTAAGTTTGTCCGATAATTTGTTTGTGCAATGCTTTTGAACCAATAGTTTACTTAGTCCAGTTATAGTCCAGTTACAAGCAATGGATTTAGGTGCTGAGATTTCGCCAAACTATGAAATTTAACCCTCAGATGCCCAAAACCGGGTCAAACTGACCCAAGAATCGCTGACAACACGTGCCCCGCAGGTTTTATGGGGCACTTGAGATGTAGGTCTACAAATACAACTTGAAAAAAGAATAAGACATCAAATTGAAAAAAATCTAATATCAACACAGCCGAAGATAAGAGATACGTTTAATTGGGTCTGATTACTTAAACGTTCCTTCCGAACCAGAGCGACAGTTGAACTGCATTTTGCAATTTGGAGCTATAAATTCTGACTCATCTGAAAAAACACTTGTGTGCGTAGACAAACTAATGTTACATACCGACGGTGAAACTACCAAACCACGTATCTCGTTTGCGGTGTTTAAAAATCTACGCTCACATTTTATTTTTTTGAAGTAGACCAAATCAATATCATTCCTTGAAATTTTCACGGAATTTTCTCCGCACAAAGAGGAAAAATCACAGAAATTTTCAAGACTGGATGTTAAGTAGTTTTTCATTTAAAAAATAAAGTATGACAGGAAGTCTGCGACGTCGCAAACCGAGATACGTGGTTTGGTAGTTTCGCCGTCGATACGTTGTTGTTAAACCGGGCCGGAATTAATAGTTCCTTATTGCAAAATGTAGTCCAGTTTATTGGCTGTCTTGAGCGGAGCATCACGAGCTCTCGCCTCACGTTCTAGCGCCTTCAATTTTGCAGATACAACACGGACATCCATCGAGCACGAATAGTTGTATCTCTGCGCCGTCATCAAAACAAGTCCTTTCAATTACTCTGTTTCCTTGTTGTGTTGGCTCCGTTTGTCTTATTTGTAGCGATGTTTAAAAGGATACGTGAGCAACACAGTCAAAGCTTAACTTGGATTGCATTTGTTGGCCAAACTAAACATCGGATTAAAAAAAATTGGGTGAAGTGTCTAGCTACCATCTGGAGTAAGACTAACGGTCGTAGTCTGGTTAAAACGACATCATACTGCTTTTAAGTGACATGTCATGTAAGAAGTATTGGCTTAGCTTATGGGTGTTCCCTTGATGCCACACAGAGGAAAATAATCGGTAAATTAAGAGCTAAAAGATGCTTAATTACTTATAAGCAAGTACATGAAGAATAATTAATACATATTAAAACAAGCATCAAGTGTTTGGCTGTTAGACGCCTGAAAAGAAATCATGAAAAATTCGTGAATAAAAGTGATAGAGGTGTACATTTGCGTCGTTTGAGTTCACGAATCGGGCAGTGAAACCAATAAATATTGGCTCACAGTAGAATTCAATTGTGGCTACCCACAGATAACAAAGTTATTGTGATGTTAATTCTGACGGAATAGATCGGGATGAATATTCATACGAGCATCGCACCCGTAACTTTTTTATTGTTTATTTATACAGTGTGATCCAAAAGTCTCGCACTATCCCTGTGACTTTTTTGCTAATTGGACGTATTTCTGTCAAACGGAACTATGTGCATTATGACGTGAGCCCTGTTATACATATATTCTTATGCGTCTCAGGGCCCATGTCTTAATGCACATAGTTCCATTTGACAGAAATACGCCCAATTATGCTATCGGGTTGAAGCTTCGGTAATGATACTAAGTGAAAGTGAACTACTTTTGAAAAAATTGTTGGGGGCCCTTGAGAAGGACCCGCCGTTTTGTAACGGTTTGAGTTATTGACCTCATTGTCCACCAATAAATTGTCTTCTTTTACGCTGCGTACATCCCAGAGATGTACCTCAAGAAAGAGAAGAACCGTTGCTCTCCATTTGAATAAAAATTGTATGGTCTGTGCTCCCTTTAAGGGAGTCCACCCGAAATTAGCGGGGGCTAAAAAGTTACTTCGTGACTTGGGAGCATTAACGAAATTTCAACCCGTTAGCATAATTGGCAAAAAAGTTACAGGAGTGGTACAGAACTTTTGGATCACACTCTATGTATGAATGCAGCCACTACGGAGTGAACCATAATTTTTTTTTTTCTTTAGTTTCACACTCGTTTTTTCATGACTGCTATATCAAGGTTTTTACTGTTATGATTCTTGTTTGTCCAGCATTAATACGTTTTATAGCTAACATACCACGAGTGTCATACCATACTATTGCCATGCTGAGCGGAAATGTCGGGTAAATACTCGAATGTTGTCAAATTTTCTTTCAGTAAAATATTTGTTTCTGAAAACGTTTATGAGTACTATTTCTTAAAATTTTCACAAAAACTCGATTGCATTGCAAGAATGAAATCCCCGGAAAAATTCGAGATAACCTAATCACCGGCTTGCGAGAAACTTTGCATTATATCGACGCTACTAAATGGTCGCACTTAAATCAAAAGGAATACTATCCATTCAGTGGCGTGGCGTGCTTTGCGATATATCGATTGATCTGTCATTTAAACCTACGGTAAAGGATCGATGAACAGGGTGTTCGCAGCGAACACCTTCATAATCGATTCTTTACCATAGGTTTAAATGGCATAACAATCGATACATCGCAATTCACGCCACGCCACTGTATCCATCGTAACATGCGCCCTACCATGTCATCTTACGGAAAGTGACGATTTTAGAAAGTTGGCAACACTGATTTTCCTCCATTTAAATGTATGTAAAAAAATCGAATCTTGGTGAGGCAGCCCGATTGCCTCACATGAAATCGATATTACTAATGGATTTAAATGGAGGAATCAGTGGCTTGGCATACTCTGCGATACGTCGATTAATGTGCCATTTCAACCTATGGCAAAGGATCGATAAACAGGGTGTTCGCAACAAATACCCTAATAAGTAATCGAGTATTCATCGTAGCTTCAAGTGGGGAAATATCGATTGACGATAATTCACGCCTCGTGGAAGGAGTAACAGTGCTGCTAACTTGAAAAATCGTCATTGCTTGTGGGTCTCAGGGCTCTTGTCAGAATGGACATAGCTCCTTTTGATTTAAATACGTGGAAATTTGGCAATGTCCGAATGTTGATACATCGTTTTCCCGGCCGCACGGGGCACGGGCATGGCACAATTATAAGCATTGGCGAATCCAGCAAATCGGCAACATTGCTTTTTCGCCATGTAAACCTATGGAAATATATCGAGTCAGAGAGGAACCATTAGAATGGCCGACCAGTGTTAGAGACCCGGAACGTTTTGAAGTTGATATAGGTTAGGTTTACTTGGGCTCACACAGCAGGCTGCCATCTAAACCCATGTCAGACGCTGCCCACATTTTGCCGAATATTGTTGAATAAAGTGATAGCAATGAAAAGATTGCATAATAATCGCACCTCCAAAGGTTTTCTCAACTCAAAAAATAGGAACTTTGAAAGCAAACCTCAAAAAAAAATGAAAGTTTACATAGGTTGAAATTTTCACATGTACTTATGGGCAAGACGCAGCAGAAATGGAGATTGAGGTTAGCTATACTTGGGCTCCCACCCCCCTCCTGCCTTCAAAAACCGGCCC